GGAGGGGGGGAAACCCATAGAGTTAACCCTCCTGGCCTACTCAGGAGGTATGGGGGGGGCAAGTCCAGGACTCCTGGTGGGGGGTCAGTTTTATCGATTGATATCTCTTCCCCCCCAATAATATACCTATCCATGGGTGGGGGTAGGATGGGAAGAAGTGGGGGTCAAAGGGAAACTCAACGCAGGAAAGGCCAGCAAGGGTCCTGGCCTGGTTGCCCTCCGGCCTTCTTTCATTGCCTCCCCTTCCCCTGGTTCTGGTGCCCCCCCTTGCCAGGTTTGCCCCTTCTTTCTGCCCCACCCAGTCCCTCAATCCCTTTTCCCCTTGTTTGCTATTTCCCCAACTTTCTTGAAACATGCCCTCATTTATAGGGCTTTATGGGGGGGGCGAAGAGGGAAGCAGCTGTTTCCAGCCCCCCCACCAGGTTATTAAAACAAGGCTTAAGAGTCCTGTGGGGTCCTAAAGCTGACCCAGTTGTGACCCCCCCACCAGGGGTCCTGGGGGTCCTGGACTTGGCCCCCCCCCCCCTCCTGAGAGAGAGTCAGGGAGGGATACTCATGGCTTGGAGGGGGGGAAACCCATAGAGTTAACCCTCCTGGCCTACTCAGGAGGTATGGGGGGGGCAAGTCCAGGACTCCTGGTGGGGGGTCAGTTTTATCGATTGATATCTCTTCCCCCCCAATAATATACCTATCCATGGGTGGGGGTAGGATGGGAAGAAGTGGGGGTCAAAGGGAAACTCAACGCAGGAAAGGCCAGCAAGGGTCCTGGCCTGGTTGCCCTCCGGCCTTCTTTCATTGCCTCCCCTTCCCCTGGTTCTGGTGCCCCCCCTTGCCAGGTTTGCCCCTTCTTTCTGCCCCACCCAGTCCCTCAATCCCTTTTCCCCTTGTTTGCTATTTCCCCAACTTTCTTGAAACCCCCCCCCTTCCCCCTTATGCTCTTAATACAGGAAAACACTTCCCTCTTCCCATTTCTGGTGCTTCCCTTTATTTCTCTTTTTATCTCATATAAATATTGATTGGGACACTTTTTTTTAGGCTCCCTTGAAGGCATTCCCATTTCTGGTGCTTCACTTTATTTCTCTTTTTATTTCATATAAATATTGATTGGGACACTTTTCTTTAGGCTCCCTGGAAGGCGTCTGATTCATTTGTTTCATTGAAAGTTCTGAAACGGACTGGAAGAAATCCTCAGCCTTACAATGCCTGTCTTTGTGTGTTAGTGTGTGTATGTGCACACACTTATATGTGTACATACACACACGCTTGTGCATGTATATGCACACATATATATATATATGTACATATACACACATTTATATAAATGTATATACACATACACACACACATATCAGAGGAGAGAAATCGAGGATCTTCCACAGGTTAAATGGAACGTACACTGAAAATAAAGGTGTACCTGGAAATGTATGTGTCTAAATCAGGGTTTCCTAACCTGGGGGTCGTGACCCCCAAGAAGGTCACAAAATATTTTTTGTTGTTGTCTTAAATATGTTATACCCCTTGTTAAATAATTTCTTCCTTGACCTTTCAGAGCCAGTGATGAAAATTAGCATGCATGTGTGTCTGTATGAGAAACAGGCCCTTTGGAGGGGGAAAGAAACCTCTACATTCTGAGAAGGGAGGGCTTTACTCCATTAAAAATGCCTTTTGGTGCAAATATGGCCGGTGGGGGGGGGGGTTCACAGGTTATTTGGCTATTATAAAAGGGGGTTACAACCCAGTTGGGAACCACTGGTCTAAAGCAGAGTTTCTGTTTTGCCTAACAAAAAACACTGTGGATGCCTCTCCTCATTTGCAAGGGCACAAGCCAAACGATGCTTTACTTCAGAGTCCTTCATATTAAACTCAGTTGAACTTGCTTCCCAGTAAGAATGCCTAGAATTAGAATAATGATTTCTGTGTTTACTTCCCATCCTATATAGTGGAATGGAATTCCTTTTAAAAAATATAAATACTTGCCTTGCCTGCTCAGCTTGTGATTTGCTTTTAGAATTCCCACAATACTCTTTATCGTGCTCTTTGAGGTTGGAAAGGGAAGTATCTTTCCCGCCCAGGGAAGTGATTGTGTCAGGATCCTCCTTCTCCTGCCAGCTTTACCACACAAGTGAAATCTTTAGGCTCTGGTCTAGCAAAACATCTTGTGCAGCCAGTGGATTAACCTTCAAGGAGCTACACAATGCTTTCTGTCTGTTGTGAATAACCCTTTAATTAATTAATCAATTTTTTAAAAAAAATTCTCCCACTTTCCTCCTTAAAGAGGATCAAAGACCGCTTGCATCATCTTCCGTAGAAGTTCATCTTCTGTAGAAGTTACACAGAGAACTCTGCTTTATTTTTGTACTAGACTGTGTTCTTAAGTATATGTCACCAAGTTGATTCCAACTTATGATGCCCCTTTCTGGTTCCCCCCCCCCGAAGTCTGGAGGACTCAGAAGTGGGTTACCATTCTCTCCTTCTGGGGACACTCTGGAACTGTGAAGCTTGCCCAAGACTACACAGGCTGGATTTTCCTCAAGATACACACTCCCAAATCCTTCCATGCATCACATTCAGATTTCACGCGGAATGCACCCTCTCTCTGGGAAATAAGCAGAGTCAGGGCTAGCTGACATGGGGGTGGGAGACACCCACACACACACATGAATACTGTATGCTTCATTAGGAAGAACCCTTCGTGGGACAAGCAGGAAACCTACATTGAACTCCCAAGTAGGTTTGATGAACCACGTGGTGTGGAACATTGGCAGGCCATTACTTCCAGTCACTGTTGATGTTACTGGATAAAATAGACCAGTGCTTCCCAATCTTGGGTCTCTAGATGTTCTTAGACTACAACTCCCAGAAACCCTGGCCAGCACAAATAGTGGTGAAAAGGCTTCTGGGAGTTTTAGTCCAAGAACATCTGGGAATACAAGGTCAGGAACCACTGAGATAGGCTGATAGCATCACTCAGTATAAAGCAGCTTTCTGTGTCTCATTAATAATAAAATAACGATAATAACTACATTTGAACTGTAGAACTGGAAGGGGGACCTTATGGATCACGGAGTCGAGCCCCTCACAAAGAGGCACAGTGGAGAATTGAACTCCCAGTCTCGCGCTCCGCAGTCAGAAACCTAAGCCACTGAGCAATCCGGCAGTTCGTGATTCCAGAATTGTTATTCGTAAAACACCCTGTCGTGTAAATGGCTGCACCTTTGTAGCAAAGCAGCCCTGTGGAAAGACAGGAGGCGAGCTTCTTGTGGAAAGGTTGACAATAAAAACAAAACCAGGGTAGATATTAGGGCCTAAAAAGGAAACCCCCCCAACTCTTGTCCCTTACTTGGATTAACACAAATAGAGATGCTGAAAGGAACAATAAGGAAAGGTTGACAATAAAAACAAAACCAGGATAGATATTAGGGCCTAAAAAGGAAACCACCCACCCCCCTCTTGTCCCTTACTTGGATTAACACAAATAGAGATGCTGAAAGGAACAGTAAAATCTTAGAATACAAATGGGAATTTTTCCAACAGAAGGGAGCTTGTGGGAAGAGTGGTTTGAAGCAGCAACTTGGCACCCTCCAGAGGTGTATGAACTAGAACTCCCTTGAACTTCCAACAGGTGGTGGCTAAGTGTGATGGACACTGTAGTCCATCCTATCTGGAGTGCAATGGCTTGGGAAGGGCTGCTATAGCCATCATTTAAACTTGTATTCCTTGCTGGCATCAGTGACCGTTGGCCTCTCTGTTAAACATGTTCGTGTCCATCCATTTGTTAGTAGAGTAGACCCATTCAAACAGTGGGGACTTGGGAAGCTCCCTCTATTCAAGAGGTGTGCTCTGGTTGGAACTAACCGTTGGATCGAGGCCCATGTGTGGGCACAGCCAGTCACCTGTAAACTTTTTTTTTAAAAGAGGCCTCTGATAGCAGGTATTTTTCATGAAAGTAATGCACAAGACCAGTGCAACAGGATTTACAGCTAACCAGAATGTGAAACTGTCATAGAAAGGGTTGATCTCGCTCTGACCTAGTGTAAAAGACGAAAATGCATGTTTTTGACCTACATTTTAATTATAAACCAAGCCACACACTTTCTGAAAGGCCAGGTGGACCAATGCCAAGATTATATTCCAGTTTTCCTGCCCTTTGGAATTTTTAGACATAGTCCTATGATTTTTTTCTTCTTCTTTAAAAAATGGCTTTGCAAAAAGTAGGTAGGGTAGAGAAAATGTCTACTTTTATCGGAATGTCCAGAATTTCAGACTCCCGTTGTAACTTGAGACACTAAATTCTGGCCTCGCTTGGTGCATTATGATCAACGCTCTGCCCCCTCCAACTTTCAGTCTTCCTCTGAACAGATGCAGAGTGCTTTTTGCTTTCACTCAGGGACTAAACCAGAGACATCCGGTCAATTTCAGTTTCTAGTGTCGGTGTTCTTGCGCCGTGCTTGCCGGCCTGTCTGCGGTCAGACTCCCTTTCCCAGGAATTTAGTGCAACTCTAGGTTCTTCCTGGCAAGTCCATCAACCCAAGGGTATCCTTTCTGCGGTGGAAAAAAGAGCTGGTACCGCTTAATA